TTTGGATTACCGGCTTGTGGGGTTTTTGAAAGTGTGGGTTCCGGGTGGATTTAAGTATTTTTGTGTTTGAATGAACTGTATGTAAATGAACAAGAAGAATTTTATAGTGGTTCACTCTACAAAATTAGAGTTACATCCACTGTATATACTATATTACTTTTTGTGGAAATCTGAGTTTACACTGAATATCATCTCTCTTTCTTTTTTCTTTTGAAGTTTTCGGACCCCTTTCCTATTGGGGTCCTTCTTCTTTTATATTCGGGCTTCCTTCACTGGGTGGGTTTCCTTCGTAGGTAGGAACACTCAAGTGTTCTCCCTCTCTAGGCCCAGACATAGCCCACTAATTAGTACTGTTCACTCAACCAATTAGTCTTCTATTACGGCTCTGTAACTCTCCGTAATGCTTTTCTGTCCCTTGGGGGAGGCGATTTGTAAACTTGCAATTAATGCTGTCAGACTTCTCTTACCTCTGCATGTAACCTATCACGTCGAAAAGGGACGTTCCCCTCATCGTCAGTGGTTGTTTAAACCTTTCTCGCCCCCTCTAGTGATCTCTTCTGCAGTCGAGGGATCTTGTCGTGTCGACCCAGGCGAAATCAACCGTCGACGCCTCACGGGGTCGTTGCCCTAATTATGGACTTCATCTTCGGGTTCTATAGCTGATCTTGAGGGAAACGAAGCGTCGAGGGTTGGGTGCTCGGCAGAAAGTAAGTATAGCCACGTGTCGTGACACCGTTGGTCCAGGTGTCCATCACATTTTCCCACACAACAAGCTCTAAGGAAGAGATATATAGTGCATAACTGGGAATCACAATTAAAGGACGCTCAAGGATTAAAGAATCTTTCTATTATGAAAATCTTTTTGTATTGTAATTCAAAAAAGCATTATGAATAACAAATGTATAGGTTATGAATCCCGAGAATCTCATTCTTTACGAGTCATTAGTTTTTTTTTTTTTTTGGTTTTGAACTTGAGGGTGGAAGGTTTTAAACTCGTTATCTTATGATGAAATAAGTGTGTAATTAGTAACTATTGTACTAGAATTCTCCTTTAAAAAAAGAAAAGAAAAGCATGCATGCAGAACAAAAAAAAAAGGCATGCATTAATATTGAGATTAGCTTCTATAGAGTAAATTTTTGTGAGATAAAACATTGGAGCAAAAAAAATTAAATTTAAAATGAAATGAATGAGACTTAAAAATTTTAGGTTTTGCAGGACTATTATTATTTTTTGATACAAGGTGAGTAAGAAATGTCACTACTTTTAAGTGGAACTCAGGATAACTCGAATCTTCAACTTAAAAAAGATTACAATCAATTGGGCTGCTCTGACTCGTCATTATTATTATTTTACGTAGTGAATTATTCTTAATTTTGTTAAAATTATTAAAAAAACCTAAAAACAAAACCAAAGCATTATTGTTAAATTAATTTAAAACCAATAGTTTCAAAAATGAAATTAAAACCCAATATTAAGATTACCATAATTTTTTTTTTTTTAAGGGTCCATAAGAAAGAATAGTTGGAACAAAGAAAATATTATTATAATGATTTGAGATTACTATTAATTAATTAACATAATTATAATTTTACATCCCTTCGTCCTTCTCCAACAACAACGACAACAAGAAGCAACAAGGAAACGACGACCACCACCATCGCCAGTCGAAACACCTGAAAGCTGAACAACAACTTGAAGAAGAAGAAGAAGATCCTCCATTTGTGCATTTCTATATGTATCTATATATCTATATATACACATGTATATACATAAATATACCTGGAATCTGATTCGCTCTCTATGGTAAGCATAATTTCATATGCATTTCTACGAATTTGTGTTTTCGAATTCTAAATTTCTCGCTTAAATTCCCGATCGTCTTCTTTCTCTCCATCGCCATTTTCATTTATTTCTCTCTTTTCGCGAGAAACAAACAGGAAACGATTCCCTCCGCTGTTGCCGTGGAACTCGATTAGGGGGAGCTCTACTGTTTAAATTACATTGGACCTGATTACTGAGAAGCTGAAAAGTTTGTATCTTTGGAAATTAGGGTTTTCGCTTAAAGGTTTTGGGGATTCCTGGGGTTTTTGTAGCGGAGGAATTGTGCTTCTGATTGTTTGTTTGGTTGGAGCTGCTGTGGTGTTTTGATTGCGAGAAAATTAGGGCTTTTTTGGCCCCTTAATCTCATCGGTTAGTGTAGGGTTTAGGATGATAGATCGAGAATGGTGCGGCTTCTGGGACTGACTCGCGGAGAGACTTACGAGTCGCCTCGGGAGATCACCTCCTCGCGGGCCAATTCATCTAGCGATTCCGGTGACAATGGTTGGCTCATTCGGTTTTTCGATTCGGCATTCTTCTGCGAGTGGATCGCTGTTAGCTATCTTTACAAGCACGAGCACTCGGGGGTACGAGATTACCTCTGCAATCGAATGTACACTCTTCCCTTGTCGGGGATTGAGAGCTATTTGTTTCAGATATGTTACATGATGGTTCACAAGCCGAGCCCATCTTTGGATAAATTTGTGATTGACATTTGCTCAAAATCGCTTAAGATAGCTTTGAAGGTGCATTGGTTCTTGTTGGCGGAGTTGGAGGACTCCGATGACAATGAAGGGATTAGTAGGATTCAAGAGAAGTGTCAGATTGCAGCCACTTTGATGGGTGAGTGGCCGCCGTTGATACGGCCCCAAAGTGAGTCATCTAGCCCTGGAAGCAAGAGCCAGGTTTTGAATAGGATATTGTCTTCAAAGCAGAGGTTGTTGTCGCTGACAACGTCACCACCTGCTCAGAAGTCTCTATCCTTCTCGCCTTCTAGTGGGGGTGTTGCACAAGAGGAGGGTGGTCCAATGTCGCCAGATGAGAACAAGATATTTAAGAGATTTATTCCGAGTCCAAAGGTTCGAGATGCATTGCTCTTTCGAAAGTCTGGGGAGAAAGATGATGAGGACTCTGAGAAGGATGGATTCTTCAAAAGGCTTTTGAGAGATAGTAAAGGTGAGGATGAGGGGGGTTCAAAGATTCGGGAGCTCTTTAGGAAGTCGTCCGAGAAGGAAGAGGATGACTCTGAAAAGGATGGATTCTTTAGGAGACTTTTGAGGGATAGTAGGGGTGATGATGAGGAGTTAACGACAAGTTCTGAAGGTTTCTTTAAGAGGTTGTTTCGTGATAGCAAGAGTGATACTGAGGACAAATCAACGTCTAAATCAGTGGAAGAGGAGGAAAAAGAAGGGTTCTTCAAGAAGCTTTTCAAAGATAAATTTGATGACAAAAAGCATGTGACTGGTAGGTACGAAGATGAAGAAGTGGTTCACTTAGAAGAAAAAAGCTCAAAATCTACTGAGGATGAAGAAAAGGAAGGCTTCTTCCGCAAATTCTTTAGGGATAAGTTTGAGGACAGGAGAGATGGTAATGATAAGGCCGATGAAGGAAGTGCCAATGGGGAGGAGGAAGATCCTTCTGACTTTTCATTGTTTCGGAAACTGTTTAGAGTGCATCCAGAGGAAGCTAAAAACAATGCGGCAAATGAAAACAATAGTGGGGGCCTGTTTGAGAGTAGTCCAGGAACTGAGAATTTTTTCCGCAAATTGTTTCGAGATCGTGACCGGTCTGTTGAAGATTCTGAGCTATTTGGTTTAAAGCATAAAGAGGTATGATCTTTTGTAGTTTATCTGCCTGTTGTTTGGCTGACAGTGCAAAGTGTTATTTTCTCTATTTTACAGTCTTCATTTTTCTCAATTATGTTGTGAACATATAGTATTACAACAACCAGAAAAGGTTGTTGGATTTCCTTGTGTAGTTTTATAGGATTCTCTAGAACCTTTATTGCAAACACTTCTGATGTCACGTATTTTCATACTCTCTTAAATCAATTTGTAGACTATGCGAAATTTCCTTATTTCTAACTAATTTGAATCATAGTTGCAGTATGGAAAAGTGAACAATTTGACTTATAAGCACATTTTGACAACATTCTGTACCAGGTTTAGGCGTCAACTCTTTTCAAAGATGGGTTACATAAACGCAGAAATACGGGCTTGGTTTTATAGGTTGGAGTGAGTTTTAGAAGGTTATGAGTTGTGGGTGTAGTCTTTTCATCTGTAACCATAAGTTTGAAGTCGTTGTACTTGCACATATTGAGTTTTCCTGTCTCTTTCCCCCCTCGTGTTGGTGTGGAATGTGGATAAGGAACTTAGCAATTAGCACTAGGAAAATGAGAAAGCTATGATCAATGTGGATAACATATAGCCATATGAATGCTGTACGGTGAAGCGAATAAGAAATCAATAAGTTAAATGGTTGATTGTTGTTTGTAGAAGAAAGAAGATGAGATAATTACAATACAAAATCAATCCCCTGAGTCCACCCTGCAACAAAAATTTGGAGATAACTTTTGAATCAACCATAAGTTTACTTCACTTACGAATAATTGTCTTGAATAAGTTCACAGGTTCAGAGCCTCCACCCTTATTATTATCATTGTCATTACTATTATTCTTATCATGCAGTCTAATGAGGGCTCTGCTTTTGAACTTATTTTACTTGGTATGATTTGGAGTTTTTTCAAAAGAACACAATTTAGTAAGGATCTTAATCAATGAATTGTCCTCGAAACAAATTTTGATATATATTTGGTATAGATTTGAACTTCTCTCTCTCCCTCTCTCTTTCACACACGCATCTGAGATAATTTCTGATCTGACGGACTTGGGGAATTCATGCCATATTTGGTTGATCCTCACCCACTGGCTGAAGGCGTTATGAAGAACTGGATACCTGCTTGTTTTATAACATATCGAGTAAACCTTTTAAGTGTGCTTTTTAAACTGGCAGAAGCGTCCTGGTTCGCCTAGGCAACGGGATGAGAAGTCATATGTGAAACCGCCGCTTCCAAGTAATACTGCATCCCAGTTCCGCAAAGGAGCTTACCATGAGTCGTTGGACTTTGTGCTGTCATTATGTGAGACATCATATGGCTTGGTGGATATATTTCCAATTGAAGATCGCAAGAGTGCTCTTCGTGAGGTTGTATATGCTTTATTAGGCAACCATTCCATATTATGTTTATGATGTTCATGTGTTTGAATGTACCTGATTTTTTTCTGTTTCCTATGATTCTAGTCGCTTGCAGAGATCAATCAACATCTATCTGAGGCCCAAAAAAGTGGAGGTACTTCTTTTAGCTGTTTATGACCATGACCTGAGATATTTAGAGTCACAATGCTATCAAGTATCACTTATCTGGTTTTGTTTTTGTTTTTGTTTTTTTTGTTTTTGTAAGTCTTTTATTGTCTTTCACTAGAATAAGGGGTATTTTAAGAAGTTTCATGGCTTCTGTGCTGGGTTTGAAAAAGAAACAATTTTATGTGTATTTTCCCTTTAAATTTGTGATAGGTTGAAACCTGAATATGTTTTATATGTGTTTTCCCCTTTAAATTTATGATAGGTTGAAACCTGAAAATGTTTTATATGTGCTTTTCCCTTAAAATTTGTGATAGGTTGAAACCTGAACATGTCTGATGTTTTGTTTTTTTTACCTCAACATGTCCGATGTTTTGTTTTTCTTTCTATTTCTTTTTATTTTTTATTTTTTTTGGAGGAAAACTACCTTTCATTGATTGTGAAACCAAATACAAAGGAAAAAGAAAAACTAATCCTCAATCAACAGAAAAGGAAGGTACATGAACTGACAGAACATGACATAACTAAAGAATTGCTAATTGAAGGAATGAATTTTATAGGTTATATGCATAGTTTTATGAGGTTCTCTTTCAAGGTTTGAAAATTTGATTCAAAATTACTATCAGCATATGCATACAGAAGTTAGTCATCAAGGAATGTATTGCACTGCTCGTGAATTGTTCTTTTAGTCTTTCAGTAATGCCGTGGTACTTTGCATTTGTTGTAGTTTTCTGTTGGCATATGTTGTATATGTTAGTCTTTATTTGTAATTGTATGTTCTTGCTTAAGACTGTTTGTTCTAGTGGCACCAGGAGCTTGGCTGGGGTGGGGCTTTTTGGGGAGGTTGTGGGTTCGATATCAACTTTTAAAAAAAAAAAAAATGTAATTGCATGTTTGTATACTATGTTAGGATGGAGTTTACCAGACCCTTTGTGTTGACTTTCGACTTTTTATGATTGAATTTGCTAGGAATTGGCTTTCCAATGGGAAAGGGAATGTACCGTGTGGTTCATATACCTGAGGATGAAGCTGTGCTTTTGAATTCTAGGGAGAAAGCACCTTACCTAATCTGTGTGGAGGTCTTGAAAAGCGAAACACCTAGGTATTCATGTCATTATCTTGTCAAATGACTTAGCTTACTTTCTGATTCTGGTTGTTATTATGTTTCCTTTGTGAAAAGACTTCTTGAAAAGTTTTCTCATAATTTTATTCATTCTGATATGTTTCTCTCATCCCAATGAGAAAAATGACTCATTTTCAGCAACCCAAGGGACTCATCCAGTCCTCAAAAGCTTTCGAGAGGAGGAATTCCCTTAGCAAATGGAGATGCACTACTTCCAAAGCCACCTCCTTGGGCATATCCACTATGGACTGTTCAAGAGGTGTACCGCAATAGTAATGATAGAATGTCGAGTTCTACTGCTTTGGCAATTGATCAGGCTATGACTCATATGTCTGAGGCAAGAGTCAAATTTGTAAATGTGAAACTTTCTGTGGAAAAGCAATATCACAGCCATTCAGAGGATATTGAAATATCTGATTCACAGTCAGCTATTGATTCCACCGGTACTAAGTCCTTTCATAGTGTATCTAAGAGCTGTCAAAGTGGTGAGAATAGAGCACATCCGTCAAAACCAGCACATGGTTGTGACTTGAAGTGGGTAAGGGTAGTGCTGACAGCAGACCCCGGTGTTAGAATGGAAGACATTGAGGATCAAGGTCCGCGACGTCGGAGGGAACACCGTCGTGTTCCAAGTACTGTGGCTATCGAGGAAGTAAAGGTGAGGAGGGGGTTTTGTTTGCTTGGCTTAATTTGGCACTTTTGTCGACTTATATACTAATTAATATTCAATTTTTTCATTAATATTCAATTCAACTTAGTTTGTGTTTGTGCACTTTTTTTAAATGATTTTTTACCATTATTTCCGTTTGCAAGTTGTGCAACATTTTGAAATTTTTTTAGATGGACCTATTCTCTATCTCTCTCTTTCTCTCTCTCTCTTTTTATGTTTATGTGTGGCATCAATAAATTGCTAATTTCTTTCTTTGTATTAACCTATGAAAGTAAGAAATACCAAATGTCCCCCCTGAGCATTGATTGCTCATGCGTTAATATTGCAAGAAGACAATTTAGTTTCTTGTGCTATAGTCAACAATGTGCTTGTTTCGTTTATTAGATTCTGGCTTTATGGATTTCTACACGAACTTAATGAAGAATTTATTTATGTATCGCCTGAACCTAATTTCTTTGCGTATCACGTGTTATACGATTTTTTTTAAAGATAAGATATTGTTGATAATGCTTCAAATTCATTTATTCAGGCCGCAGCAGCAAAAGGAGAAGCACCTCCTGGACTCCCATTGAAGGGGGCTGGTCAGGATTCATCAGATGCACAGCCTAGGGTGAATGTTTCGCATAAATGAAATTTTTCTCTTTTTATTGGAGAGGGGAACTTTTTTTATTTTTTTTATTTTTTATTTTTATCTTAAGTTTCAAAGTTGTCAACAGGTAAATGGTGCTACTCCCAAGGCTAGTGATGCCTTGTCTGGTGAACTTTGGGAAGTGAAAAAAGAAAGAATACGCAAAGCTTCAGTCTATGGAAAATTACCTGGTTGGGACTTGCGTTCTGTAAGTCCCTACATAACAGACTTCTATTTATTTTCTTTTACTGTGATGTTTCTGCTGTTTGTAAATTTTGGTTTTCTTTTTTTGTCCTTTGTTTGTTTGTTTGGGTTTTTTTGTTTTTGTTTTTGTTTTGCACTTGATCACTGCTTGTCCTCTTGTTTCCCTTTATTCTCTTCTTCATTTCCTTTTAAAAAGTTATGTTCATTATTAAAAGAAAAAATCTTCTGTTGAATGTAAATTCGACGCCACATGTGTGTGCATGCACAAGCATATTTGGTAAAAAGAGACGATGTTGACAGTCACTGCAGACATCTAATTGTTTTGCTGTTGCTCAGACTTATTCTCGTGTATTTAACTATTTAGCATGGGTTACGTTCTCCAGCATGTAAACTGTATTTTTGTTAGTGCCGGTGTTGACTTCAGGATTTTAAACAACATTTTCTCTCTTGTTTCATGCAGGTAATCGTGAAGAGTGGTGATGATTGTAGGCAGGAACACCTTGCCGTGCAACTTATCTCACACTTTTATGGTTGGTGACTTTTACTAGTTTTTATGATTTTGTGCAGGGCATTGGTTCTTCTTGTTCCTTTCTCTCTCTTGTGCTGTGTTTTCTTCTCTTTTCTATTTTATCTCCACATTGGTTACTACCCTTTTGAAGCACTGGTTATTGAACGCCTTTTGTGTTCACGTCACGATGAGGTACTGCAGATAAATTAAAGAAAAAAAGAAACGGAAAAAAAAAAAAACCAACATTAGATCCAATTTTATAAAAGAAAAAAAGAGGCCTGTTTGCTTACCATTTTTTTTATTTTTATTTTTTATAAGAAATGAGAACCTTTTATTGAAAATTAACCAGAAAAACGAGGACACAACAGAGGACAAGAAGTCCTCCAACAACAAACAAGCAAGGACAAAACTCAGCAGAAACTAAAAATGGGACACCTGAAAGTAGAAACAAAATTTCTAAAGTGCTGATTTGATATTTAATCCGATTTTCTGTCCTGTAAGATATAGAATTATGTCATCATAACTCTTAAGTGCCCTCAACTGAAGGTGAAACTAAAACAGAGGATATAGTGGTGGAAACTGGATGCTACTTGGATCCCATTTTAGAAATTGTTTCCGATAGTAATTTTGCTTGGTGCTAGATATATTCCAAGAAGCTGGTCTCCCCCTGTGGTTGCGTCCTTATGAAGTTTTGGTTACTTCTTCCTACACGGCTCTAATTGAAACAATTCCAGATACAGTAAGTATGTGCTTTTGATTTCTTCAAGGAATTGGCTTTCAAGTTTTAGCTAACCTGCTGTACTGTTTTACTTTTTTCAGGCGTCCCTTCATTCTATCAAAAGTAGATATCCTAACATCTCAAGCCTACGTGATTTCTTCGTCGCCAAGTACCAAGAAAATTCTCCAAGTTTTAAGCTTGCCCAGGTAATTTACTAAAGATTGTATCCTTCAGATAATACTGTGGAATCTTCTAATTATTCCATTCAAGACAAATTATTACTTTTACTAGGTGGACTGTGAATTCTTATTCTAAACCAGAAAAGCTGGATTCACTTGGAGTAAATATAATAGTGCCTATTTTAGTACACTTTTGTAATTAATAGTGAGAATGAGAGTCTGTCAATTTTGTTTTTCGACATGGTTTTAGGATACCAGTTATCAAATTTTTTTCCCCCATTGCAGAGAAATTTTGTTGAGAGTATGGCTGGATATTCCCTCGTGTGTTACCTTCTACAGGTATCCTACCCTTCCTTCTCACTTTCTTTCTGTCTCTATAAGTAAACGTGTAAATAGGCCGTTACATGGTGTTGTTGAAAGATCAATCTCAAAGACATGCCAAAAAGAGGAAAAAATTATTGAAGGTGCATGATAAATCCTTTGCATTGCAGAAAAATTTTAAGTTTGAAATTTAGACCTTTGCATTCTTTGACTTCTAACAAAATAGACTTTCATTATACACATTGGTGTATGTTCAATGATGAAAGCTGTAACCTAAAGAGGATATTATGAATCAGTTTGGGCAGTATCCGGTAGGATAGAGTTATAGAACAAGGGTCACATGTCTTTCAAACCTCTATAATCTCTCATCTATGCATATCAAATGATCATATGGTAGAACATTAACGTATTATGAAGGATATCTCAATGCTGGCTGAGACGATTTTTTGTTGTTGTACTTGTGCTCATTTCTTTTAACTTGTTTAGTACTTCAAAATAAGATAAAGCATGAAGAGCAGTCCCTCATCATTGGTATGTTTGTTCTCACTTAGGTGAAGGATCGGCACAATGGAAACCTCTTAATGGATGAAGAAGGTCATATTATCCATATTGATTTTGGGTTTATGCTTTCTAACTCACCCGGTGGAGTTAATTTTGAAAGTGCACCGTTTAAGTTAACTCGCGAACTTCTTGAGGTAAGATAAGGCTGTCTTTTCTTATTCTTCTATCACGCGCGGAGATCATTAGGCTGAGTCTTCTAAGTGGTCCAAAGTGTTTAATTCCTAATTCTGTTGAGTTTCTTATTATTTTTTGGCACTTACTGTCTTTTTCATTACGGTTCCAATTTTTTCTACTATTAAGGTTTTCCTTATTTTGTCAGGTATAATTTATTGTTTTAGGGCATATTTTGTTTCCCGCTAGATGGATAACTCATCCAACATGTTATGCACGTTTTATCTTTGAAATTTATTCGACTTTTTCTCTGTTTCTTATCAAAAGAAAAAGTCTCTTCCATATTCAGTTACTTTTCTTGTTTTGGGCTTTTAAGCCACAACTGAGTCTTATGTATTTATTTTAATTTTTTTCCCTTATGGTTTCACACTGCCTAGATAAATTGACCTTATTTTGCATTTTTGTTTTCTGTTGACACTGAAGTTCTGAGCTATGAGGTTATAGTCTTTCATTCTCTGCCGTATTGGTTCTTCCTCCTCTCATCATCTCTCTCTCTCTCGGGGTTTAGCAATCAATTTGCAACACTTTTTTTTGGGTCTTGTTATCATTTAGCCTCTTAAAGTTTTATCATAAAATGATAGGAAGCTTGCTATTCCAGGTGATGGATTCTGATGCTGAGGGAGTTCCGAGTGAGTTCTTTGATTATTTTAAGGTAGTCATGAAGACGCCCGCTCCTCTTCTTATTTTGGGATTAGAAGCAGATAAAACTCCTTGTTGTGCTTTTTATGTTTTGTCATAGATGGCGTATTCTCAAATTCTCCTTTTGAATTTCAGGTTTTATGCATTCAAGGCTTCCTCACATGTCGAAAGCATGCAGAGCGAATTATTCTTCTTGTTGAGATGTTGCAGGTAACACCAACCTGAACTTGTCAATATGCTTCGTCTTGTTCATTGGACCTATTGCAAGCACTCCTTACCGAAAAAATGACAGGCAGAGGATTAGGAAGCTAGGATTTGCTGTGACTAAAATGTTAAAAGGGGTCGTGGGCCAAGATTAGAGCACCCTCTTTGATGGTGTTCATTGTATGAGTTTGTAAACAGGAAAAATAGTTGGATATTAATTTGTGATATTAAGCTTGTCTTTGTGTGCTTGATTGGTGATGGTGGTTGTTTCATTGATGCATGCAAGGATGGGGAAAAGAAACACTTTTTTTTTTCCCATTATTTATTATGATCGATTAAAGCTACTGTTTACGTTGTTTGTATCAGGATTCTGGTTTCCCATGCTTTAAAGGTGGTCCACGTACAATACAAAACCTAAGGAAGCGGTTCCATCTTAGTTTAACAGAAGAGGTCGGTGAACTATCCCCACCATCGTTTTTATAATGTGTTTTAATTTTAATTTTAATTTTTTAATTTTTTTTCCTTATCTGATTAGCATAATAATTTATTTCTTTCCTTTCTTGTTCCATGTCAGCAATGTGTGTCCTTGGTGCTTTCCCTGATTAGCAGCAGCTTGGATGCATGGCGGACACGGCAGTATGATTATTACCAAAGGGTTTTGAATGGAATATTGTGAAGTTTGATAAAATTTGTGATCACGCGATTCTCTTTGGAAAAGAGCTGGCTCAGTGACTAGATCAACTAGTTTTGTGTACATGCAAGTTATTGTGTTGCTAGTGGAGTCGGTTCACTGTGTATGGCTTTGAGAGACTAATGGAGGCAAAAAAGGATTGCTGATGGTGATTCGTGGCCTGTTTTTCTCACCGTGAGGAATTTGTAATTGTATCAGGCTATCGGCGGAAACTCTTTGGAAAGCAACAGGCTAAATTTACTTCAGCTGGGTTTTTGGTTTATATTTTCTCCTTGTTTCATGTAATATGGACTCTTTTGCCTGGTTGGAAATTTACTTGCAGGAGATTCCTGACCTCCTACCATCGTCAGGCAAAAAACATTGTACAGAGTGATTCTGATCTAGAGGACAGACCGAAAATGCAACGGCTAGGAAGCTATCTGTTAAATTGGTTGTGTTGTCCCAAGGAGCCAAGAATTGGTGGTTTCATATCTCTCTCATTCTGTCGTCGGAAATTCGAAATCAGAAGTTGGCATTTGTTCCTACTGATCTGTCTTCCAGGAGTCTTGATTCTTCCATAACGTACGTCGTCATAGTGAAATTCTTTAAAATTAATGTATGATTGTATCTCTTGTATTATTGATCCCGATTTATATGCGAAATTTTGATTTGAATATCGTTGAGTGAGCAGTTTTGGTGGCATTCATTTCTGATCCCGGTTTCGGTAGACCACTAAACCCTACTATGGGGCAAGTTTTTCAGTTCACCATGCTAGGGCATATTTGTCTGTTTTGTGTATCGGTTTATGTTCTTGTGCTGCGTTTTTGTTTTCCTCCGTTTTGAGAATTTCTCAAAATTGTTGTTAGTCACGAATGACAATCAACTGAACAATTTGACAAAGATTTCATATAAACGACAATGAACTCAAATTCACTTGGTTGCACGTGCGGGACATGTTGGACAAACTGGTGTCTGAATTGTTAACATAAACAGCCCTCAAATGTCCTTTTTTAAAAAAAAATTATTTTTAGTATTTATTATTTTTTGATTTTTTCCTTGTTATTAGACTATGTTTGCGTTGTTTATTTCAAAACTAAATAAAAAATATTGGTGGAGAACCATGTTGACCAAGCGTAAAGTGACTTGGTCGCTAAGAGTGCAGATTAATAGCATTAATTATTTTATTTCTCTGTCTCTCTTGGAAAGCCGAAAGTAGTTGGTTGTCTTATAAACTGACCGTTACCGAGACGTTTCTTAAATAAACGGACACTCCACTTCTTTTTTGTTCCCCTCTCTTTCTCCCTCTCTCATTCCTATATTGTTTTTCAACTATGTAGTCTGGGTTCAAGTTTTTTCAATCACAAAAACAAAAAAAAACAAAAAACCCTCTCTTAGTCCTGAATGGACGGTATGACAACCTTTTTACGGGCACTATTAGAAAACTCGATATTTTGTATTTACTTAAGGCTTGTTCATTTATATTTTTTAAGTTAGATTTGAGTTTGGATCTTGATTTGAGTTAATGTGTCTTTAAGTATGATTTGAGTTGAGACTCTAATTTGAGTTTGTGTTTAGATGTGCACATTTTGAGTTATGATTTGAATTGAGAATCTATTTGAGTTTGTGTTTAGGTGGATCAAAACTTGAATTTGTATTTAGATAGTATTTTAATAAAAACTCAATGGTGATGAAAAATTTTAATATGGTATATAGGTCGTCTCTTCGTTGTGAATGTATAGAAAAAAATCATCTCAATCGGAATTAAAATGAAAAAGTTATGACGTTTTTAAGAATAAAAAAATACTGTTAATTAACTTGAGTTTGAGTTTAGGAACTTGAGTTGAAAGGGAAACTTGAACTCAAATTTTAGCCTCAAACTCAAGTTTAAACTCAAATTTTACAAAAAACATGAACTTGAATAAAGTTATAACTTGAGTTCAAACTTTTATTGATGTGCAAATGAACAAGTCTCTATAATTCGATTGCTAAGAGAAAGTGCACTCAAAAGAATATTTTATATTGGAGATTCTCTGGTATGTTTGACGTACTAGTACGTCAGATTTTTTTAACAATTTACTTTATATATATTTTTTATTTTTACATAATTTTGTACGGATTTTACAAACATAAAACATAACCTATCAATATATTAGCGTACCGAAAAAGAATGTCTCCTTTTATATATTGAACTCATGGGTAGCTTATTTGCTGCACGGACAATGACCTTAAATGGCTTGTTTTGTTTGTATGATCCAATTTTATTATATTGTTAATTTTAATCTAATAAATATGTACTTTATTTTTTAATAAATTAATAATATATTTTATTTTTTAACACTATTTTTTTATTTATTTTATTTAAATTTTATTTAAATTTTATTTTTATATTTTAAATAGTTGTACAATTTATATTTATTATTTTAGTACCCAATTATTACACTAAATATTTTAATTATGATTAATTTTAATATAATAAGTACACAATATATTTTTTAAATTGAAAATATCAAATTAATTTAAAGGGTATATTAGTACTTTTATACTTTTTTATTCCGATTCTAAGTGTAAGTAAACGTATGAATGAGATTTTAAATGACTACGATTCCGAATTCTATCACTAAGTAAACAGCTTATTCTGACTCCGATTCCTCACTCTAAATTTTACCCACTCTGAATCCTATCCATTCCAATTCATGTTCATTTTGATTACGCATATGTAAACATGCCATAAGTTCGCACTGATGTTCCAAAAATGAGTTGCCTTCCAACTTGTTTGTACTTCGACATTCCAAAGACATTTGAACTAAATTTGTTAGAAACACTTTCTTTTCTTTCTCTAAAATCTTCTTGAGAATCCTTTTTTTTAATTATAATAAAATTCTGTAGCTCTTTTTCTATTTTTCTCGAAAAACTAATCCGAATGTCTTATAACGCAAAGGGGCACTATAAATGCAAAATTTATCGTACTAACACCAAAAATGGTTTTGATTGTTTTATTTTATACCACTGTGGCGTCAGATTATTCCAATAATTACTAGAAGTAACTATTCTATCACTATTGAATATTGAGAATCACAAGACAGCAACACCAAAAAATAATCAAAACCAATACTATTCATATTTTTTTAGTTGAAATAAATCCTCTCTTAACGATTACTAAACACTTGCAAAAAGAAAGAAAAAGTTTTTTGATATGACATTTTTATTAATAGTGTCATTTTATAACTGTTTGTGATCTAAATTTAAAGCGTAAAATAAATAATTAGATAAATTTTTTTTTCTAATTTATTATTGATGTTCCAAAAAAAAAAAAAAGTGATTGCACTTGCGACAAGCAAACAACCCCTTTCATGAATTTCCAAACAGGACCTGGGAATTTTCCTCCTTTTGTATATGTTTATGTATATGTAATTATGTAATTATGTAATTATGTACTATATAAACCTATTCTCTTAACAAATTTGTCTCCCCTCCGCCCATTTGTGTTTCCCCTTTCTCACTCCTCATTCCTTCCGCGTCTCCTCTCTCTCTCTCCTCTCTCGGTTCTCTCTTCTCGGGTACGTCTCCTTAGGGTTTCTCTCTCTCTCTCTCCCCGATTAAGATCCTCCTTTACGGGTACTACTAATCATCCTTCCCCTTTCTGTGGGAGCTAGGGTTTTGTTAGGGTTTTTTATTTCTGTTGTCTATTTCACAATTTCTCCTGATTTCTGCTGCGATTTTCTTGAGTTGACTTAACAATAATGAATAACCTCAAAGGATTCGACTTTGTTTGATGGTTATTGATCAATTTATTGAGGGTTTGAATGCGATCGATGTTCTGTTCAAAGTTTGATTCGAAATCGCCGATTAGGGGTTTTTAGATTAAATTTCGTTTCTTTGATTACTTCTGGGTTTGTTTTGTTTGGTTTTAGACTTTGTCCAGAAATTTGGGATTATGTAATGGACATGTTTGGTTTTGATGTGATTTTTCCTTAATGCTGTTGATTTGTGAGTGAATGTGTATTTACTTATGATCCAAACAGGGCCTTCGTTGCACGCCAAATGTCTTTGGATCTCAACAAGAATAGTTGGTCCACCACTAAGGAGTTTGGGTTAATGAACCGAGGGAGGCTTTGGTGTTCGTGGAAAATCTTGTTTCGGCATTGGACTTGACCAAGAACAGTTTTTTGTTTTTTTGTTTTGTTTTGTTCATTCTGTGAAGAAAAAAAAAAAATACTACATTGGATACAAAAGAAATCGACCGTTGATTGATTAAGGTTGTAAGAGACTTGCCTTTATTCACTTCTCGTGAGGAAATTCCAAATTTTGGATCACTTTATTAAGCGGTTGTTCGTTCTTCGGTGCGTTTCGCGATGGGGAAAACATTGCTGTCCCCGGGTTTTCGGTTTCATCCGACGGATGTTGAGCTTGTCAAATACTACTTGAAGAGGAAGATACTAGGGAGAAAGTTACATTTTGAAGCGATTTCTGAGGTTGATATTTACAAGTACGCTCCTTGGGATCTTCCAGGTGTGTAACAGTACTTAAATCTCTTTCCTTTTTTTTATTTTATTTTATGTGTTTCAACTTTGTTTCTAAGTGGGTTTCTTGTGTATCTTTCTGGATACTTTCCTAAACAACTTATGTGGTTTATTTTTGCTTGTTCAGATAAAGCTTGTCTGGACAGTAAAGATCTGAAGTGGTACTTCTTCTGTCCAAGGGAGAAGAAATACGCGAGTGGGGCGAGAATGAAACGAGCTACTGAGTTTGGGTACTGGAAAACTACAGGAAAAGATAGGCCTGTTAACTACAACGGTGAGGTTGTTGGAATGATAAAAACTCTGGTCTTCCACACTGGTCGAGCACCAAAAGGGGATAGGACAGATTGGGTTATGCACGAGTATATGCTTCAAGAAAAAAATCTGGCGGACAGAGGTGTTGTGCAGGTATTAAATATTTAACTTTTAATGGTTTCAGTTCTTTTCCCAACTCCTTTATGGAACTAAATCCCATCTCTGTGATTCTCAATAAAATCATGTCTCTTCGTCTCATAAGTTCGACATATGGAAGGCGGTTTTTTTTTTTGTGTGGTTTTTTTATTATTATTATTTTTTATTTTTTATTATTATTGGTGATTATTAAGTTTTTATTCGTGAACTAACTAGTTCAGGGGGTTATGATGTTGGTTCATTTTAGAATGCACAGTTGTTCTATTCGCACCTGAAGAGAAAAATGAAAGTAACAACCTAAAAATATGGATTAACTTGATTAAGAAAGAAGCAACTAAACGAAATAGACCAGTCCAGAGATAATCTTGAAAATCGTTGAGTTAGAATAACAAAGGATTATAAAACAATAACTTACTAAGTACGCAACAGCGTCGACTGTTGGGGGTGAAGACCAATTTGAGTGGTAGACTGTTACTAGTTATTGATTCAATAGTTTCTCATTGTTAGCAAGTGCTTGCTTAATTAATGTTCTCAGTTAGTTTGTTTTAAGTTATATATAGTATTCTTTTGGGGTTAATAACCATCTGAAATTTTTATCCATATGATTTATATGCACAGTGCTTCAATGACATCATGGTGTTTGGCATTGACTCCCTTAATCTTTTCTATAATGCAGGACTCATATGTGCTATGCATGGTTTTCAAGAAAGAGGGTCCAGGACCAAGAAATGGTGCCCAATATGGTGCACCCTTTAGAGAAGAAGACTGGACCGATCATGAAGAAGATAACTGTGCAGAAGTGGGGCCTTCTGCGATAGTGACTTTCCAAAACAACTTACTGCCTAATAGAAATCTTGTTGCTTGTAACTCACATACTCTCGAGAGTACTGGGAATGTGTTTTCACCAGAATCATGTGTATCTGATATGGTACCACCTAGTTCTGAGGTGACACTGCCAGTTTCTGCTAATGATGATCCAGTAGAGAGGGTTGAGAGTTTTGATGATGATGACATTCTGGAGATGTTGGGTTACTTTATAGAAGGAGAACCTTTCGAAGTGAATGGAAATAATCAAAATAAGGTATTTAATTCTCTCTCTCTCTCTCTCTGTTTTCCCCCCCTAATTTTATTATGCTATTCCTAATTTATTGGTTAGTTACTGTTTCTATCAATTAGATCCTTTGCTAGGAATGCATTTATGGCCATGTTTAGAATTGATCTCATTTTTGTTTTTTACGTTTTTCAAGAAAGAAAAAATGAAAATGTTTCCAAAACGGTGTTTGGCGCAATAAAGACAAAAAACGGAAATGAAAACGATTTTTTGGTTTAGTGTAAAATAAGAGAGAAATGAAAAACGACTTTTAGTCATTTTTCGTTTTTCTTTTTCGTTTTCGTTTTCTCCTCTCTCGAGTAGAGAGAGAGAAAGAGAGACATTAATGAGATTTTTTACACTGAAAACAATCTCTTGATAAAACTACCAAACACATTTTCAAAAATGATTTCTGTCTGAGATTGAAAACATTTTCATTTTCATTTTCATACAAAAAATAAAATCATTTTGGAATGAGCTCCAAATGCGTATGTTTATTTTTTTGCTACAGCTCATAAAGATCACTCTAGTCCTTGTTTTAAGATTTTCATGCTTCGCAAACTAAGTTACAACTTACATGACATGTAATGATATTTAGGCTTCACAGGTAATGACATTTTGAAATGCATATGGTGATCTGACCTTGTTCTATTTATGCTTTGTTTTAACAGCCCATCTCATTTTCAGTTCAAATCTGTTTTCAAATTGTGGAATTTCAAGGATATTTAGAACAAGATGGATCTTGGAAACACGACCTCCTATACCCACTTATCTGATGGGAGTGTGTTTCTGCATTTGTTATTCAACCTTATAATTAATGCTGCATTTTCTTTTGTTTGTTTTGCAGGATGCTAACAATGTCAACCACGTTGATCCTGCTACTGTGGCTGCTCCTCATGATGGAACCGATATCTTTAAAGATTTAGCCGACTTGGACAACTTGGCTTATGGATTTCATTTCTCTAATGCACATATAACCCCTTCTTTTGACGAGGCTTTTCCTACTGGTGATGACCGTTCCTTTCTGGAACTAGTTGATCTTGACGCGCCTCTGAGCCGCCCTGCCGGAGCTTCTGAAGATGATATTAATACTTTTCCTGCCGTACAGCTTTCTATGTGGCCGCATACTGCTCACAACTTGGATGGATTCTGATCTTTTTCGCTCCAACACTGCTGCACAGAATCTCTCTGATGTAGGACAGTTGGATTCCTATTAGGATCTTAGGGTCCGTTTGGTTCATGGATTCAAATTATGTGATTAGAATCATTTTCGATTTACGTGTATTTTTTGTGAGAGAAAATACTGTAGCGAATCACGAATCATGATTCGAATTAGGGAATGAATTTAGGTACCAAACGGCTTATTAGTAAGTTTTTTATTTCCGGGATTTATATTTATTATCAGATTTTGATTACGAATTTAATATATAGTTTAATTTCTGCTAGGATTCTTAAGTAGGCCATAATTATCAGCCTATAAATAAGGCTTCATTATGTTATTACATTCAGTTTTTCTTCATTATTATTAACAAAGTTCAGAGCTATTTTACAGCAATTTTATCAATTTCATATTTTCTCCTATTCTGCTGCATTACTCTCTCTGCTAAACCACTCATTCTTTAGTGCCTCTGCCTGAAATAAATCCCCCCAAGTGATGGAAAAATCGTACGAGACTCCAGTTGTCAGCGGAGGTTTTCATCGACATGTTACAAGATTTCTGTTGTCGGCAAGTTACCATTACATGACCTACAAGAATTATATCTTTAATTCATTTGGTGTCTAGACTCCAGAAATCCTCATTTGAGCCAGTTGGTTTAATTTAGTATAATACTGTAAAAATGTGTGTTTATTAATACAACATTTATTCTATTATGCTACCTGCCGTGTATAAGGTTATACAATGCAAAATTTATATAAACATTATATTGTTGTAAAATAACGCAATACAAACATTTCACTATTTCAGTAAAATAAAACGACAGCTCATAACTCAAACATGATTAATATGGCATATTTATAGAAAACAAATGTAATCTTTACTCTTTCGATAAAAGCAATTTCTTGTGTAAAATGGGAATGATGTAGGAAAATGAAAAAAACCAAAAATATAGAAGAAATTAAGTAAGGGCAAGAGGAGGTTTTCTTGGCGCAAAAAAAAAAAAAAAAAAAAAAAAGATTACCCTCAGAAAAATGAGTATTTTATTTGAACCTTTTCTACGCTTTTTTTCTTTCGATTGTATAATAAATTATAACAGAGTTTTTAGTTTTGATGAATTATCTTGAACATAATAAAGTATTTGAGAATGCCCAATTGACAATGCTATATTCTCTTCGTGGATCTGGAAAAAAAGGGTAAGATGTGGGGTGCTTACCAAGTATGACGGTGGTATAGGTAGAAATTTCGGCATTCTGTGTTTTGACTAGGAAAAAAAAAACACAATGTGTAAGTCACTAATTCTTGTAATATTCAACTTTTAAGTAGAATTTTTTCTCACTACTTTCTCATCGTGCGTGTAAAAAAAATAGTCGAACCACGTTTGTATCCACTGTATTCAATTAACATTTTTCTTACTCCATTTAATTTCTCGGTATGGCACACCAACATCGAGTAATACTACAATTGAGAACCTTGTTGTACATATATTATTTTCATAAAATATCTTTTGATGAATATGAAAAAAAATTAAATTACATCATTTGAAAAATGGTTCTTGAGTTGTACTAGAAAGTGCAAATTCATAATTGGTAACTCATGCACTTTATTAGCCCAACTTTAAATCAGATGTTTTGATTGAGTAGATCCAGATGACTCTGCCACTTCAATAGCTTGAGCTTGCGGTTGCGGTTGATGATGATGTGCAGATTTAACATGTGAACTTCCTCCCATTACCTTTTCAGCTTTCTTGATTTCTTCATCAATATGAACATCTTCTTCAATGGTTAGTATCTTCACTTGTTCGCCATTTGGCCCGGGAACTATGGCTTCTTGGACTTTCTTGTGTTCATCAAAGTTTATGATCTCAGCTTTCTCATCCACTCTTTTCTTCTTCTTGATGAAACAACAGAGAGCAACCGAGAGGAATGCGAGGAAGAATAGCCCGCCGAGCGAAACGAAAACAACGACTATTACAGTCGAATAGTGGCCTGGAGTTGGCGATGGCGGCGGAACAACATGAGGAGGTGGTGGTGGAGAAATAGGTTGAGGTGGGGCGATTGGGGGACGTGGTGGCTTTGGTGGTGGAGAAATAGGATGAGGTGGGGCGATTGAGGGACGTGGCGGCATTGGTGTTGGAGGGGGACTCAAATGAGGTGGTGAAGGCGGAGGAAGTGGATGGGGATGAGGTGGCGGCTTCACAATCGGAGATGGCGGCGGGATTGAGGGACGGGGCGGTGGATTGAAGGAGTGGTGTGGTGGAGTTGGGAATGGAAATGGAGGATTGTTGGTGGGTGGTGGTAGAGGAAAAAATGGGAACTTGAGGTCACTGTTTTGAGAAGAAGCCATAATTTGTGTAGTACAGAAAAGTTGATCAAATGAGAGTTTGTGGTGTTGGAGGATATAGAATATGGCTTGTATTTATTTATGCCAATATGTATAGTCTACGGAATAGCAGTAGGGACTTTGATTTGATTTGATTTGTGTGCTTCCAAGCTTCAGATAACTCAACTCTCATGGCAAGGTTTTTGAGAGTTGTCTTTGATTGAATTGAAAAACACTTCTTACTATTTACTCTTTTTTTTTTTAATTGCTTTTCACTATCAGAATCCACGTGGACTTGACTTTGTGGTTAATGTCCACGTTTACTGCGTGAACGTTATGAACTTTCCCTGGTGTAAAGTTTTTGAAATAGAATCTCGTCATTTGTCAACTCAAATGTACGACAGGGAAATAGAATCCTCGAGATGCATTTCCAGGCTTCGGTCTTTCTTCGTGTTCTCCAATAGATTTGGATCTCCATCATCTCTGTTCTCAATGCCATCTGGTTTTAAACTTGGTTCATGGAATTGGAATATGTTTCCCATCTATAATTTATCGAGTGAAGTGGGGAATCTATTCAATTTGAGGCATCTGAATTTGAAGGGAACTGAGATTCGGAAACTTCCTAAATCCATAGGAAAGACTTCACAACTTACAAACCCTGAACCTCTTCCAAACCTGAGTGAAGAAACTTCCGAGCGGAATCATGAATCTACAAAACTTAAGGTACTTAATTTCATGTTACTACAATCTAGAAATAGTTGACAACTTCCAATATGCAAATTGCACAGAGATTCCATCTGATATTACCAAGTTACAGCAGTTGCAAGTTCTAAGTTCTGTCAAAGTAAATGATAATGCCATGAGATGTGTCAAAAACCTGACACAACTTACATGCCTGGGCATAGAAAAGACAAAAGAAGTGGATGAAAGGGCATGGTGCTCATCAATAGAGAAGCTGCAGCACCTTTGCCACCTAGGCATAAAGGCTTCTAGCGACGAGGAAGTTCTCCGTTTGGAGGCATTGTCATTGCCTCCTCCGCAGCTTCGTAGACTCCATTTGATTGGAAAATTAGACAAAGTTCCTCATTGGTTTCGGTCACTGAACAACCTCAGAGCGCTCTATCTAAGTTGGTCTAGATTGGCTGAAAATCCACTTTTTTACATTCGGTCATTACCCAATCTGCAGAGGTTAACTCTAGTAAATGCTTATACAGGCGACTGTTTTTACATTCCAAAAGGCTTCCTCACACTGAAGAGCTTAATCCTACATAATTTTCCTAGCTTGAATGAGATGGTTATAGAGAAACGTGGTACGCAAGGCATTCTAAACCTATGGCTTTTCAATTGCATGGCTTTGAAGACACTACCTCATGGGATTGAACATCTCACTAATCTCCAGCAAATCAATCTTAAGAATGTTGTTGGTATCAGAGCTCCTTAACTCTTTGAACAACTCCTTATCATACGTCATGTGGTTAGTGCAACCACTATCGATTAACCAGCTTTCACTTGAATCACGGCTTGTGAAACAGGTTGCAACAAAGAGTTGATCTTCTTCTTCTCGATCAGCAACTTGAGCTTCTGCTTCTTGTTGTTGAACTTTGCTTCTGCAAATCACAGCTTCGTGGCCCTGTTGATTGCACTTGCTGCATTTTGCATCAGGTCTCCTCCAACATTTGAAAGGAGGGTGACCTTTTTTGCCACAATGTTGACATGGAGGATAATTTCCTTTCATGCCAGCATTTTTGTTTCCTGTTTTACCTTTGTTGCTGGTTGCAGTACTCTCACCGCTTGCTCCTTGAATCTTCTTGCTCTTCTTCTTCTTGTTTCTTCCATCGTCTTGATGCTTGACTGCTAAGGCTCCTTCAACAACTCATTCCTATCTCATTACATGTCGTTGCTCTTGTGCTTGAAAGGCACTCAAGAGCTCTGCTAGTGTAATTTTGGACAAGTCCTTAGTATTTTCTAAGGCTGTGATTGTAGCCTCAAATCTTTCAGGCACCGTTACAAGGATTTTCTCAACAATCCTTGAATCTGATAGAGTGGAACCCAGTAATCTGACATGATTTGCTATGTTGAGCAATCGGTCAGAATACTCCTTTATGGTTTCAGTCTCCTTCATCCTCTGCAGCTCAAAGTCACGTACCAGGTTCAGCACTTGCATCCCTCGAATTCTTTCATCTCCTTCATACTCAGTCTTGAGATAATCTCATATCTCCTTTGCTGACTTCAGAGACATGATACGAGTGAAGATGGTAGATGAAACTGCAGCAAACAAGCAGGCCTTTGCCTTTGATTTCTTGGTTTTCCTCTCCTTGAAATTTTTTATCTGAGCCATTGTGGGATTGTTCAGCAGGGGAGTAATCTCATAATCATCTTCCCCAGCCATAATCATCTTCCACAGCCTCCCAGAGGTCCAAAGCTTCCAGATACATCTCCATTCTAGCAGCCCAGATCTGATAGCTTTCTCCATCGAAGACTGGTGGTGCAGTTGAAGAAAAATGGCTTCTCCTTCCATGGCGTCCACTGAGTTTTCTCTTGTACACACGCAGGTCCCTCAAGAAAAAGTGCTTTGATACCAATTGTTGTTAATTTGAATAAAAAAACCAGAAACAATGTTTGCTTGTGATGAAGGAATATCAACGTTAAAATAAAGAACAATGAAAAACGTTGAGTTACATGTTCATGCAATCTGAATTACAATTTATAGATAAAACATAACTGAGAAAGTCAACGAAGCACATTTCAGAAGCTTGGTGGGGTGTCTGATGTATCTAACAGCAACAAGGCCTGACATCTTGAATGCTGTAAGTATTCTTTCTCGTTACATGCACTGTGCAAGTGAAGTGCATTTAAAAGCAGCAAAAAGGGTGATTAGGTATGTCAAAGGCACAGTTGATTTTGGAATCAAATTCAGGAAGAATGAAAAGTTCAAGCTAGCTGGTTTTTCCGACAGTGACTGGGGTGGCTCCATTGATGATATGAGAAGTACCTCAGGATACTGTTTTAGCTTTGGATCTGGTGTTTTCTCATGGAGCTCGAAAAAACAAGAAACTGTAGCTCAATCCACTACTGAAGCAGAGTTTGTTGCTGCAACAGCAGCTGTTAATCAAGCTTTGTGGCTGAGGAAGATTTTAATCGATCTTAACTTGGAGCAGAAGGAAAGCACGGAGATTCTTGTTGACAACCAAGCTGCTATTGCTATCTCTCATAATCCTGTGTTTCACGGGAAAACTAAGCATTTTAACATCAAGTTATTCTTTTTGAGGGAAGTACAGAAAAATGGAGCTGTGGATCTTCTCTACTGCAAAACAGAAGATCAAGTTGCAGATGTTTTCACGAAACCTCTGCCGGTTAACAAGTTTGAGATTTTCAGAAAGACGCTTGGAGTGTGCAGCATCTAAACAAGGAGGAGTGTTAGACATGTGTTTAGGACTGCTTCCACGTTGCTGAAGTTGTTGCCACGTTGCTGAAGTCCTAAACACATGTCTAACACTCCTCCTTGTTTAGATGCTGCACACTCCAAGCAACCGGCAGAGGTTTAACTCAACGTTTTTCATTGTTCTTTATTTTAACGTTGATATTCCTTCATCAAAGCAAACATTGTTTCTGGTTTTTTGCTGAAAAATAACAACCTCCTAGAAAACTAGATAGACTTTTTTGAACCAGTCAAATTAGATAATAATAAAAACTTCAGCAACGTGGCAACAACTTCAGCAACGTGACAGCAGTCCTAAACACATGTCTAACAGAAACACATTCAAACATACAGAGACGACGAGAATCTTGAAAGAGGAGATGAAATTTTGCCTACACTTTCGAAAGCAATAGAGGAATCGATGATTTCCATAATCGTCTTCTCGAAGCGAGTATGCTTCTCGAGATGGTGCTGATAAAAATAAAAAAATAAAAAAAAATCCTGTCACTAGCTTAGGTTTCGTATACGTGTATGATATTTCTATATGTTATAATGAATATGTACTAATTCGTAAGTTTTCTGAATATATATATATATATATATATATATATATATATATATATATATAAAAGCAACCGGCAGAGGTTTAACTCAACGTTTTTCATTGTTCTTTATTTTAACGTTGATATTCCTTCATCAAAGCAAACATTGTTTCTGGTTTTTTTATTCAAATTAACAACAATTGTTTCACGACTACTTATAGAAAGTATTCGGGGAGAAGGGAGCTTGGATCGTCTGAGGGCTCAACACATTTCGAAGATCAACTATTACTACCAGACACCATCTCGATGGAATTGTGAAAACCTAGGTGAATTTCCAACTGAAAAATCTTCTGTTAATTGAATTCATTGTCAATTCATGATGCTTATGTTAGCTGATTTCCTTCCGTTTTGCATGTTTCAGCTCTAGGCGATTGAAATCCAGTATCATATTGCAATTTTTCTCTCTGAAGAGATCAAAGGTGGAGATGTTTTTCAAATTCTTGTGTAAGCTAATATCTTAGTATTGGTCTTTTTGTACCCCTTGTTTTATATGTGTGAATCTTTGCTACACTCATGAATAGATTAGAACATAATTGATTATTGTAGTTGGTCTTTGATATTTCATATTTCTTTTCAAGTCTACATCTGATACGCCAAGATCGCCACCAAAGAAGTAAAATTTATATAGTGAAAGGAAAGGAAGGAAAGGAAAACTTTCCCATCTTGTTACTTGGCTTGCAAAATTCTATGGCCTAATTAAAGAATGGTTTTGTTTGTCTAATTTAGGAATGACCAGGATAAAAATGTGAATAGTTTCTTATGTTATTCAGTTTATAAGTTCTTTGTGAAATGTAAAGGACAGAGTTTTAGTAGGCATAGAGGTAAAGGTTAAGTTTTGCTGATCTAGTCTAATTTTGGATTTTATGTTTATATTAACAGAGATTTGACAAGATTAATCCAACACGAGTAATATTTTACAACACAAATGTCGGTCATTGTTTATCAAAAAATTCTATTACGTTATTCCTTTTTAGTTGAGGAGAGAAAATTATTGATCACAGCCACAAGCTTATAACGAGTAGAAATGGACAAAATTGCTACAACTCGGAGACCACAAATTTAGTCTTCGCTCAGATACAAAAGAATCACAAAAAGAATGAAAAGAAAAGCTTCTGTTACAAAACTCTTTTTTTATTTTTATTTTTTTTTTATTTTTTTTATTTTAGCAAGCAAGTCATTTCGACCGTAAATTTCCAATCTTCTACTTCAACATGGAGGAAACAAATTAACTGAGAACGTAGTCTAGCAAATGGAATAAATGACAATTAAAATAATTTGCGATTGAGGACAATAACAAAGAGATTATGGACCGAAAAAGGCAGACAGGTTGACGAAAAATTAGAGAGAGTTGAGAGATCAGAATATAGAGAGAAGAGGAACAATAGAAAGAAAATCTGAATATTGACAATGCCATTAGAGAAAGAGTTTGATGCATTTCTCCAAGGCTATTCCTTGGTGTCTTGGTGTCTTTACTAATAAAAATAATGCATTGATTCCTTCTCTTCAGCCAAAACAAAAAAACTACTTATCGGTACGTATTGCATTTCATCTTAACAATTCTAAATCCCTAATCATGGCAAGTATTGCATATCCCATAACACATTAATATCGTTTGCACTATAGCTCAATATTTCCGTCCTTGCCAATGAGCCACAGGAGTACCATGGCCTTGATATTCACCCAATCCTTGTTCAGAAGGTGTACCTTGTCCTGGACCATAATTTTGATATTCCCCAAAGCCCTCGTGACGCTTAGGAGGTGCATAGTTTGCATGACGGAATTCCCTCGGTTCTTGAGAATAGTAATGATCTCCTTGCATATTCCTTGGCTGTTCTTGAGGGAAACCTTGACCTTGTATATGCCCGGGATAACCTTGCCCATAGCCAAAACTTGTTCCTTGCCAATAAGATTCAGGAGCTCCTTGGACTTGATATCCGCCTATTCTGTGTCCGTAAGGCATTCCTTGTGGCGGGCCATAGTTTGGATAATATTCCCTAAAACACCTCTCACACCTAGGAGGAGGTGCATAGGCATAGTTTCTCTGATATCCCTGTACGAATTCTCTCTGTTCTTGGGGATAATAACTTGCACCTTGCACATTCCTTTGCTCCTGTTGCGAGAAACTTTGACCTTGAATATGTTGCGAGAAACTTTGACCTTGAATATGCCTAGGATAACCTTGTCCATAGCCAAAACTTGTTCCATGCTCAACAATATCAGAATTTGCTCCATGCCAATAATCTTCAGGAGTGCCCTGGACTTGACATCCGCCAACTCCTTGTCCGTAAGGCGAACTGTGTGGCGGGCCATAGTATCGGTAATCCTCCATAAAACCCCCCTGCTGCCTAGGAGCCGCATAGTTCCTCTGATCTCCCTGTGGGGATCCCCTTTGTTCCCGAGCATAAATATTCCCTGGCTCCATTTGATTGTAATTTCCCGGATATCCATTTCCTTGCTGGTAAAAATTCCTCTCCCCAGGAGCTACCGTTGGCACAAAATCTCTTCTATGTCCTTGTCCAACAGGATTATAATTTCGGTCAAACGAATAATTTTGTGGATCTCTTCTTTCTCCAAATGTTGGACGATCATAACTCTCTTGGGGCACATATACTTCAACTCCTGGTAAACCATTATTCTGTTTGGGTGGACAACTTTGCAGAGTAGGGCCCTGGTGACCGTTTGAAGGATTTCTCTGCTGATTTGGCTTCAAACCTCGCTGAGTAGTTCTCTCGTGACTGTATGACAGAATTCCCTGCTGATCTGCCGTTGGTCCTCCTTGCTGATCATGCTTCGGCTGGTCCCGTTTGCATCTCCCATTAAGAGTTGGGCGTGGTCTTGGTATGATTACTCCATTAATGTATTTGTCCCCTGATAATTAGAGTTAAAACCTCAAGTAAAAAAACACTAGAATCACACAGGTTTACATGCTCCAATTGTATTCCACTATAAAGTAAACAAACCATAAAAGAGGAAAAAAAAATACCTCCATACTCCTTTTTTTCTGGATCAACGTAAGAATCTGGGAGTACAAAAACAACCCCAGGTTGACCTGTTTAAGCCAGCCAAAATTTAAAGGCCATAAACATTATCGCTAATATCCTTTTCTCTTAATAAGGAAAAGAAAAAGAAGATAGATGCCAAATAATACTACCATTGAACTTTTCTGAATCTGCTTCTGTAACCTCCACATGAAATCCTGTGTAATTTGATGTGCTACACGCATAAATTTTCTTTTTTGCCTCTTCCTCACTGAATCCATGAAACCAATTATCATTATTATTATCATTATCATAAGGATAAATCACTCCCAACACAAAACAAACTGTTGTATTCTACCAGGCAGACAGACAGACAAAATTTCCAGAAGACAAACACCGAAAAAGCAATCAATCTCATGTTTTGGCAATGGAAATCTAACAAGGACTCTACTAACAATCATTTCCATTCCATTCTTAGATAAAGATAAAGATAAAATGATGCGAGAACAGAAACAAAAAACAGAAGTAAAGGTAGCAGCTTTTTGACCTGACGTCCAAGGCCTTGGCACATGTCTCTTCAAAAGAGCGGACCATTTCTTCTGGAGAAGGTTTCGGGCCTTTGGGAAAATCCATGACGATGAGCCAGTGGTTGAAGTCACAACCCTCGATCTCATCGACGCCAAGCTCTCGAGGCTTAAAATCCTCGTACGACCAATTGTGGCTGGGCTCCAAGGACGCCGACGAGCTCAATGGACGAGACTGGAGAAACGGCGATGATCGGGACGCGCGGGAGTGGAGAAGCAGCGACCATTTCTGCGGCGGAGGAGCAGGGGATTGTCCAGAGGAGAAAGAAGAAGAAGAAGAAGAAGAAGGTGAGATTGCGGCGAGAGAGCGGCAGATACGGCTGAGAGTTCGGTGAGACCTCAGCGCCATCGCCATGGCTGCCTCTGCACCACTGATGGAGAAAAGCCGCAAGTGTGGGAGTTTGTAGCGTTTTACTCAGATTTATCAAAAAAAAAAAAAAGTTTTATTATTTCTATTTATTTAGTCCTGTAAATCAATGCGGAGATGTTGGATTAAAATTATGTGATTAAAATTATTTTTGATTTATGTGTATTATTTATGAGAAAAAATACTGTAGTGAATCATAAATTATGATTCAAATCAAGGAATAAATCTTCCAACCAAACAACTTCTACGAGATTTATACGCATAAAAAAAGAAAAAAAAAACAAAACTGAAAACAAAAAATAAAACAAAATAAAATAGAGAGTTTCTCTACTAATTTCTGAAAAAAATGACTACTGATATTTTTATATTTTTTAATTGTTAGATTTACGTTAAAATTTATTTATTTTACTAATTTTATAATTTTAATTTAATCTAACAATTAAAAATTAAAATTATTGATAGATTGACCTACGGGAAAAGATCCCAATAAAACAAAACAAAGACAGCGTTTATATATCAAAAAATTATGTGATGACCAGTTCGTTAAATTTAACTTTTTTGCATCTATATGTAACATTACTCATTCTAAAGTGTAACTTCTTCTCGATAAATTTTTATAAATTCTCCTAAATTTTATCCCTTTATCAACATATTTTTAAAATTTTAAAATGTGTATGTTTTGTCTCTAAATTTTATCATTTGTCAACATTCATTCTGAATCTAATTCCATCAAATTTTTTAACGAAAATACTTATAAACACCCTCTGTATAAGCATTTCCGTTAAAAACGCGTAAGACTCAAGAAGCATATTGACACAAGTGACAAAGTTCAGGAGGTACAGAGTTCAAGAGATATATTAATACAAGTGATAAAGTTTAGAAAGAATTTATGGTCGTGTTTAGAATTGATCCCGTTTTTATTTTTCATGTTTTTTGAGAAAGAAAAAATGAAAACGTTTTCAAAATGACGTTTGACGCAATAAAGACAAAAAACAGAAATGAAAACAATTTTTTAGTTTAGTATAAAATGAGAGAGAAATGAAAATCATTTTTTATTTTCATTTTCTACTCTCTCGAGCAGAGAGAGAGAAAGAGAGACATTAATGAATTTTTTTACACTGAAAATAATATCTTGATAAAACTACAAAATACATTTTCAAAAATAATTTTTATCTAAAATTAAAAATATTTTTATTTTTATTTTCATACAAAAACTAAAATCATTTTAAAATGAGTTTTAAACACGCCCTATAAAACTTGTTTTTTTTTTTTTCATTTACTTGTGTAACAATTAATGTTATATGTAAGACTGCGTTTATTAAATGTTACACTAAAATACTAACGATCTGACACAAACATAAAAAAAAAAAAAAAAAAATACACATGCCTATTGCCTAACTTATCCGGGTGTTAACACCTAAGACAATCCCTTTAAAAAAAAAAAAAAAAAAAAAAAAAAAAAAAAAAAACTAAAACTCTCTTGCTTTGTCTCCTTCACCTTTAAAATGTTATAACTTCTATAGCTGAGCTAGTGCTCAGCTTAGAAGCTTTATTAATTCAAACACAAGTTGAGATTACACAACACAAACGTTGTTTGATCAATGTTTAGCAAAATCGTGAGAACTGAAGGACAAGTAATTAGAAATACATCATTAAATAGCAAGACAATATACTATTCAATTAGAACAGGAATTAATCAGAGAAAAAGTTGTATTACATTCTCCCTTTTTGTTGACGAGAAAAATTTATTGTTCACAGCCACAAGCCTGTATAATGAGTGGAAATGGAGGAAAAAAAATTGTCACAACTTACAGACCACAAACTTAGTCCCGTCTCAGATACAAAAGAATCACAAAAAAGAATGAAATAATAAGCTTCTATTACAAAACTGTTGCATTGCATACACGCAACTCTGCATTGCATTACAAAACTTCTATTAGAATTTCCCTGAATTCAGATGATCCAGAGTGTCATTACAACAGGAGCTGACAGGCCAACTTCTACAGCGGGAACAAAGCGCGAATGAGGCAGCAGAAACCTGTCTTATAGATTGGCGTCGACTTATCCTATTGCCATTCAATCTAAGACAGCTAACTTGCATCGGAACAGGAGAAATGCATTTTTCCCCTGCTCTGCAACAGCAGAAAACATCTAAGTAAGAGGGTAGAAGACAACTGGAAGGAGAGTTTTAATTAACAAGGAATGGAAAGTAACAAGAAGAAATCAGTATAGGAAACCTACTGAAATAGTTTTGGGACACTTATTCAAACCTCTAATGCAAATATTAGGAAACTAAACTCAGAACTACTTTCTATATTATTTCATTGATCTTCCTTATAGTCTATATTTCTTCTCATCACTTTGCTATATACAATAAAGGCAGAGGTGACTGCCAATCAGAATAACCAAACTGTTAGTGGTAAATGAGGGTGATAAAAGTAACTGAAAGACCTACTTGCTCACTTATTCATTGAATATGAAGCTCATCGCCAGCAAACAAGAAAGAAAGGAGAATTTCGTTCCAAACATCGGGCACTCCAGGTAGGCACCAATGGCTACAATCAGGAATAGATGGATTGTCACTCCACCTACCCACATGCGCATCACTTCGAAACGCTGACATGGAAGTTATATGCAGCACGGTTACAGGAATTGTCATATTCTTTGCAACTTCGAACACAGCGTCTGAAAATACGCTGTATTCTCTGCCTTTGGTTTCAAACGTGGGTTGTTGCGTCACGTTGCAAACCCTTCGGGTTAAATTACTGATGCAGAAAGAAAAATTGTTATCAGTTAGTTACAGACGCCCACATAGAAGGGAAGAATAAAAAGAAGAAGGCCAAACATTCAGTTTGATAACCTTGGAAAATAGAAACTTTAAAACCTATGCATTCCAACACCTACATGAAGTGAACACATCTAAGCTCTAGATTTTTTTTTTTTTTTTTTTGTTCTAACCATATTCTCAACCCAGAATACATGAGTGGCTAGGACTATGGCAGGAAGAAACGTCTAAGAAAAAGAGAGGGGGGAAAAAAAAAAAAAAAGCTAAGCTCTGTAAACCTATCATATTTGGGTTATAGATCTATCAAGTCTCAGACACTAGTGTAATTTAAATCTCAACCAAAGCAGCAAAACTTAACTACTGTAATCCCAATAGTCTACTTTTATTTCCTTTATATACATATTTGTATGTTACACACACACACACACAGAAACAAAAAATGTCATCAATTGAATGGCAGCAACTTCAAAAAGAGGGCGCAAAAGAAAATCCATGTTTTGTTTCACTTCAAGTTATGGTCTCCAAGGATTAACAAAGAGATGAAAGCTAAACAAGCTCAGATGACGTGTTGTTTCCAACATCAAAGGAGTACCTCCAGTGAGATGGTTCAAAAGTACGAAAGAAAACACGTGTTCGATTTGTATCAATATTTTCCTCAGCCCATGACGCCCAAGTATCTAGTGCCGTTCTGAAGGCAGTAGGAATCGACATTCCAAGCTTTAGCGAGTTGCCAATCTGGAAATAACAGCCACTGTCCAAAATACAAATTCATCAATAAATATAGGCATATATAATAATATGTAAAGAATCTAAAGATCAAGCATAAACATGCTTGATCAAAGTAACTTTTGAGAGAGATCTATTGCCCGTCAGGCATCTCTGTATATTTTCAACCAACCATCAGTTTACCCGTTAACATATTAACCCCTAAATTTCAATTAATTTTTACAGTCATTCCTGGATTATTTGCGATAATTTTCCTAGGAATTTCTACAATCACAAATTTCTAGGAAAACTGTAGCAAATTTGTGACAACTAAGACAATAGTGTTTATCGTAATATCTTTCTTCAAGTCCTACTTCACGTGTTTATGGAAATGAAATCAAATTTTACAAACTAGTATAGTATTTAAATGAATAACGCCAGTAGACTTCAGAGTTAAGCCTAATTTATGATATTTTTTCCAAATTGTAGAATATAAAACATAATAACTATGCTCCATGTTCTCATGGACTGTCTGCTAATCGAATGTACGCATGTCTCAACAAAAACTATAAACAAGAACCATTGTACCATAACTCCAAATTGTGTACAACTAAAAACTAATGAAGCAAGAAATTTAGGACGAAGGGACTTACGTACTAAAAAGTTTCCCTGGAACCCACCACTGTCCTGTATTGAATATAAGAACATCTGAATCAATCCATTCCTTACTAATATCATCCAACTTGTCCAAATTCAGCATCGACTTCACCCTTTTCGGCGAGTGTCTTGGCACCAAACCTTGTTGCACCAAGAAAACTGAGCGAAAGAACTCGATAGTAAAATTGAAGGAAGCAAACCGAACACCCAAATATCTAATCTGTTTGGTAATTTGATTCCCATTAACTTCATAAACACTCTTCTTATCTTGTACACCACTCATAAGCAAGCATATAAGGGACTCCCATTGTGTTCTACTCATAGAATCACCTACAAAAACAACTCTTTTCCCTCTAAGCCCCTCCAACACGCCTTGCGCATCAAATGCCGGCATATTACAGTTCTTAGGCTTCCACCTCCATTTGAGATAACCCGTATCTCTCCGCCCATTGCCTAAGCAATCAAATCCTCGTTCCGCAAAGGGACACTCGGTCGCATTGTACAATGGATAACTATTGTCAAGAACCCAACTTCCATCAAGCACATTGCAACTACTTATTGAATCATTAAAAGTGGAATTGGCAATACCATGAACATGAAAGGCCTGGCTAAGACTTGGGAGTACATACAGGTAACCACAAAAGAAGGCTACAAGGAATGAAATCAATGAACCTATCACTACAAGTAACCGAAAAAACCGAGAAACCGAGCTGAATCTAGTACTAATTACTCTTGGGCTTCCAATGTTCAATACCCTTTTGTTGAATGAAATACTCCTACCACAAGGAGAATTCCTATTAAGCGAAAGACTCCTGTTACAAATAACCATTTTAATCGCCCAAACCACCAAGGTTCGTGAAAACTCCACTTCATAGTGAGAGAAATAGCACCAAATCAAGATCTAAAAACTTGAACCTCTCCATAAACACAAACAATTATTCCCATAACAAACGAAGTTTTCATGGATCTATCTCAAAAGGAACAAGCTTTAAGAGAATAACTATCAACCCAATAAAACAAAAGGGGAGTTCCAAAAGAATCGAAGCCAAAATAAAAAAGGAATCAAATGAAAACAAAATGGGCAGTCTTCAAACCTCGAGAAAAACGCAACCCAGATGCCGGAGAAATACTTTTTTGGTGGAAATCTTGGATAACAAACAGCATATATATTGATATATACACAAGTGGTAAATTAGGAGCAATGTCGAAACAGAGTAAAGCTATGGATTGGAGTGATGCAAATGAGTAAAGGGGAGAATCTACCGCGGGATGTTTTGAAGATATGTTGGGAAGATGAATCCGGAAATGAGACTGAGAGAGGTTTTGAAACGGATCGAAGGAGCAATATGTAATGTAATAATGATAAAGGAAAAAAACGGGGAAAAACAGAGAAGCTTTTATGAAGTGCAATTAATAACTATTATTAGTGGTTGGAGAATAAAAAAGACACATGGCGTGGTTTCAAAGGTATTCTAATATTTATATGTGGGTATTTTTAATCTTGTGTTGTTAATTAGATGGTTAATAAATTAAATAGTTGATAAAAAGTATGATCAAGTTATTAAATTTTTATATTTAATAAATATTACGAACTTATCATACATATATTTATTTTTAAATATGTATATATATTGGACGACTTTTTAATGGTTAAATTATCATTTGAATTAATATCTTACGACTAAAATTATTAGAGAATTTCAGTATAGAGGATTAAAAGAATGTAGAAAAACAAAAGAGTTTGAGGCGTATATGAATACGTTCTTTTAAAGTTTTATTTGCACTCACTTTTTAAAGTTTGCTAATGAATTTCTATTACAAATTATCCCCAAGACACAATAAATCATTGAACACAGTATCTAACAATAATATTGTGTTCCAGAACGTGAATTAAATCTTTAAATTTTTTGGAGAATTAATAAAGACAGAAGTGTCATTTCATTAATAAACACATCCTCATTAAGCATCACAACCATTCACATAAAGGTGCATTTTCATTATAAAGGTAACTCTTTATGTATTAATGCATCTATTTCAACAGTTATATCTATTGCTAATAGATGTTCATATATGTGTGAAAACATATCACCAATGGATGAATGGTTCAAAACGTTTCAGATCACAAATCACAAGTTCGTGTACAATTTCTGCAAAATTATCGCTGTAGTGGATGCTTTTCCTGTTGCAGTGCACAAACCAGTGCCAACACGCCCAGAAAGGCTACACAGCAGGCAATGCAGCGCATAACATGTCCACTGCAGTGCCTAAAGTTGGCGCTGCAACAGGTTTGGCAGTGCATACAGCACCAAATGGTGTGTCTCATCCGCTGCAATGCGAAAAACACGCGTTGCAACGGGTTTTGCTTTCCAAATTGTTTCCACACGAGTTTTAAACAGTCTAAAAAATGTGTGATCTTAATTGAGAGACATATTACAATCTCTCTTAAAAAAATAATAATACCCATTAATGGGTAAATATTGCAGTAACCATCTCAAAAACGAGAGATATATACATATATATATATATATATATTTAGAAATATTTCAACTCACCTTTTTTCTTAGAACATTAAAATTTTCTTTGATACACCAAGGTCGGTATTATGGCGGATCCCTATAGGATTTCCCGGCCTCCTTCATTTTGATCCTCGTTATCATCCCTACTTTGTTGCTATACCTAGCTATTCTTAAAAGAAAACCATTCCTTATGTTCACTTAGGTGAAGTTTCGAATCATGTCTCTAGCTACTACGAGATTTGAACCTCATTAAGAGTATAAACTCAACCTCAACCACGTAGTTATTTTGCACCGACATCCTGAAAGGGACAAATTAAATTTCAATGCTAATCCAGTCAGATAACAATGACTTGTTTTTACCCATTGGAATAACGGTACAACTATTACATAGTTGGGTTACCATCATCGGTGACTTTTTCAAAGAAAGGTTTTAGTCTCATTCCACTAGATGTTTCTTTGACTAAGTCTCTCAAAAGACTTTTTATCAAGGGATTTGCTAGGATCTTGTTAGTCCTAACATAAACAATATTGATAATACCATTAGTTATAAATTGTTTTACATATTTATGTCTCAAACTAATATGTTTAAATTTTTCATTATAAACCTTGTTATAAGCTATAGACAAAGGAGATTCAATATCGTAATACAAAAAAATAGATGACATCAGTTGTGATCACAACTCCATATCAAACAATAATTTTCTCAGTCACTCGGCTTTAACTCACCTTTTTTCTTATAACACTAAAATTTTCTTTGATACACCAAGGTCAGTATTATGGCAGATTCCAACAGGGTTTCCCGACCTCTTTTATTTTCACCCCATTATCATCCCTACTTTGTTGCTACACCTAACTATTCTTAAAAGAAAACTATTACTTGAAACACCCCCCTTTTTCTTTTTGTGTGGAAAAGGAGAAATCTTAGAAGTAAAAATGTTGTAGAGATGCTTCTGGTTTACTTAGAGAAAAATTATGACAAACTAAAAAGACTTATTTATTGTGCTCTATTTAAAACGTTTTAAGAAAATAAAACAATAATTATAATAAATAAGAAATTAGTAAATAGCAATATTATTGATAAATATTTATTTATTAGGTGTAAATAATTTATTTATCGGTAAATACTCAACGTAAATAAGTATATTTTCCAGTAAAAAACTTATCACGTATAATGGATCCAATCTGTTCGCGGCCTTAATACTTCTTTAAAAGTAAAAAAAAAAAAAAAATTATCATTTTTTATTTAAAAAAAATCTGTAAATTTATAATGCATGGACTATTAATAAGCAGATTCTTTTAGCCTTGAATGTATATGCACACAATATTTTCATCGATATATATATATATGTATGTATATTTTAATAGCTATCTCGGGCTAGGCTGCAGTCTCATGCCAAAATGAAAAAAGGAAACTAGTCCCTTAAATGGCAAAAAAGAAAATCTGGTCACTCATGGAAAATCATAATATTAGTCTACAGTAAGTTAACGATGATATTTGACCCCGTACCCAATTAGCATTGATGTTCAAAGAAGAAAAAAAAAACTAGATAATTATATATGTATAATTCCTCATAAAAACTAGGGCTAATTATTATGGTTTCAGGATCTTCCAAGAGATAAATTGACGGATTTGCATCCTTTGGTATTGGAAAATGGAAATAAAAACGACGCTCTTCATGTTTGAAGCGTGAGGAGGAGTCTTGAAACTCATAAACAAGATCAGTTTCGATCATGTTTCATCTCAATTGTTTTGTGTTTCTTTTTTTATTTCCTTGTTTGTCGCTTATGCTTGGTTTTTACACACACATACAAATGTACATATATAGCTCCGCCTCAAAAATAAGCAAAAACAAAAAATAAAAATAAAAAGGAAGAAGAAGAAGAAGAAAAAGAAGAACATATTCTGACAAAACCAAGCGATATAATACGACCCGATACTTGACAATGAAGAGCCTTCAAATTCATCCGTTAAAAAGAATTAAAAAAGAAACCTTAGCTAATTGATGTTCGTTGCAGGAAAAAGCAAAAAGAGAATAGTAGAAGAAGAAGAAGAAAATCTCCAATGACTAGATTTTATTCCAATTAATTAAAAGAGTAACAACACATAATTCGTGTCCGCTGATCAGTAAAAAATAGATCGTAAGATTCTGATTCTAATAAGCATATAATAAGTCAACATACACATGAGCATTACACATGCAATTATATGCTTGCTATAGGTAATATGCGTGTTTCCAACATGCTATAAATACGCAAACACAAGTATTTTATATATTATATATAAAATGAAAGAGTAATATAGATAGGAAAGTATACATACATATATATATATATAATATAATGATATTCAATAGCTTTCCGACGTCACTGTTTTATTAACCTGGAAGAGAGACGACCAAACAAACTTTTCTGGCCAGCTTTTCAAACTCCATATTATATATACAAATAGTACATTTTCCGTTTATATACGTATATTATATTACATGTAATATAATATACGTATATATATATGTATGTATATAATGTATTACGTAACCCAACTCAGCCGTTATGATTATTCCGGAGGCTCTTTAGTCAACAATATCCTAACAGCTTACCTCTTTTCGCACTTTTCCTACCCACATGAGTACCATGGACAAATCCCTTCTTCCCTCTTAAAAAAATAATTAAAAAAATTCTTCTTTTCTTGCACTAAACTGAATTTTATCATAATTTATACTGATACTTAACACTTTCCTTTGTTCCAGCTTCATGATCCGTATACAAACAACAGAATATGATCAATATATAAAAATCAAGTTAACTAAGATTAACAACACAGACAATCTCAAACCCTTCATTAAACTAGTTTTTTTTTTTTTTTTTTTTTTCAGTTATAATCTTCCATGTGAATAACAACATTATTTTCACATAAGCCAACATCAGTTGGCAGGAAAAAAAAGGCTATAACAAAAATTAAGTTGTACATATAGCGCATCAATTACTCATATTAGAGACTAATCATTTATCATGAATATTACGACACTAATATGTATAATATTTTCACTATAATTACCTTATGATTAAACCCTAATCAAGCTCCGCCAAAGCTGCCGCTACTGCCGCCCGCAGCAAAGGCAAACCGCCCGCTTGCTGAACCTGCAGTAGTAGGGTTCGAGCCAATACTGCCGGTGTGACCTAATTTGGTTGGAACCAATTTGTCCAAACCCCAATTCATAATAATATTATTTTCTGCAGAGGAGGCTAAGCATAGAGAGTTGACAATATTAGCTGTGTTGGAGTTAATTATGTTAACTCCTAATTGTGGAGGTGAGAGGTGATTATTGGTAGTAATCAAGTTGTTGTTGTTGTTGGGTTGGCCGAGAAGACGGATTTGTCTCTTCAAGAACTTGACGTAGCGAATGGCCTCGTCCAGCATGGAAGCCGTGTCCATCTTGGTGCCACCGGGAACGAGGCGTTGGAGGATCCGGATCCGCTCGCTTATCCGCTCCCGACGGAGGCGCGCAGCCACGCTCTGGGGGTCGTCACTTATCCGGACGTTGCGCCTCCTCGGCTTCCGGATGGTCGCCGGGTCGATTTCCACCGGCTGCATAGCGGCGATCTTGTACATCATCTCCTTCATGGCTCCCAGATCTTCCTCATCATCATCATGGTCATCACCATCATCTAATTCCGTTGTTAGTTCTTGATCTTGATGATGATGGTGATGATTAAAAATGTTTGAATTGGAAGATGGAAGCTGATCAAGACATGGTGGTGATGATGATGATGGTGAGGAATGAGAATGGTAGTTTGGGAAGAAGAGAGGAATGTTATTATGAGTAGAGGGAATATGGTGGTGGAGATACTGGAGATTCATATGGTCTTGATCCATAATAATATTGGTGTTATTGGGTATTTGGAGATCCCAAGAGGAAGAAGAGTTGTTTGTCAGCTTATTATAATTGTAAGCTGAGTGGTTGATGTTTTCCATGGCATATGACTTGCTTTGGTTGTTTGTGACCTTTTTTTTTTTTTTTTTTTTTTTTTTTTTTGCAGGAAAATGAGTACTGTAGACTAAACTAGCTCGTGTATATTTAAAGGATTCTTGTGTTTTTTTTTTTTCTTTTTTTTTTTTTGGCTAGAATAAAGGGTTCTTGTGGTAATTGCTTCTGCAGACTGGTACGTATATATTTTTTCAAAAGTAAGCTGCGTGTGTTAATTATGTGTATGTCGTCTATTGGCCAATATACAGTTAGGATGTGGCTACTTACATGCTTGACGCTAGCAAGTAGTTTCAAACTATTTATTAGAAAAAGAAAGAAAAAAGAAATTTGTAAAGTGTAAAAAGTTTCACACATGCAGGGTCATTAATTGTTAAGATCATATAAGGGACACACGCAAGTGAATAAATAAACAAGAAATTAAAAATAAAAAAAAAATACGAGTGTCAAAAAAGAAATGGTTAACAATTCCAAAGAGTGAGTGAAAAAATAGAGGAATGCTAGCCAGAAGTTTGGCACACAATTCCAAATGTTTTTCACAAGTCGTCATCGGATGCTGAAGTTAAGGTAGAGATGAGGTCGTTGAAAGTCAGCGGGGCATTTTCGGGAGCATAAGTTTTCATCTCGGCCTGTTCTTTGGAGGTTTTAGCCTCCAAGAGGAGACACTTGTCTGGTGGTGTACGTGTTGGCCTTCGTCACCGCTAGCAGTGCGTGCTTGCCAACCACGATTACCTTTTCTACCTTTTTTTTTTTTTTTTTTTTTTTTTTTTTAGGGTTTTTTTTTTTTTTTTTTTTTTTTGTGTTAAGCAGTTTTGCTTTTTTAGCGTTTTCGATGTTTTGATTTGTGGATTTTTTTTTTATATCTTCGTTTGAAATAATGGCGGTTGTTTACACTGTTTAGGTTTTTTTTTTGTCATCTTTGTTTAGTGTTTGATTATATTTTTTATATTTGCTTCTTTGCCGTTTTTCTTAAAATTAAAAAGAAATGACAAATAAAATTGAACCATATGAGCTTTAAGTTGTATATAATTAGAGGAGGAGAGAAAACAAGAATTCTTACTTCTTTTTTTTCTCTCTCTCTCTCTTGCAGTAAAACAATAAGGACAAGCAAATAATGGATCTTTTTCTTTTTTAATTTTTTGTATCCATTTAGAGAAATACTAGTGTCACTTTTTCTGTTACTCTTTCTATCACTTTTTATATTTACTGTTTGACATGTGAACTTCACTAATATGATATATTATTATTTAAATATAAAATAAGATAGTAAAATCCACGCATTATATAGTTGGATATAATACATGTAGTAATCTAACAATATATAAAAGAGCCAAAGCACTTTTCTACATGGCAGCCCCTCCGCTTAATTACTTCTTTTTCTTTTTTAACTTTTTAACCTTTTGTTTTATCTTTATTTCTTTTTGTGATTTTTTTTTACATTTTATTTTTTATTTTGTGTTTTTTAAAAATATATTGTTTCTCACTTTACTTTTATAAGAGTAATTTTTTTTTACATGTGTTTCTATTTTATTTTTAGTTGGTTAAAATAATTTTTTTCAAATGTATCTACTTAATTTTTTTGGTCAATTGTTATCTTTACACATATTCCTTTTAAATGGTTGTATAAATAATTTATCATTATTTGGTAAATAAAAAGTCTTCAAATGTCTATAATACGGTAATACGTGCTCCGCACGTTATCAGAATTAATATATATATATATATATATATATAAAAGTGCAACGTTTACATTTATCCATAGATCGATTGAGGTCGATTGTGTAAATGAATATATAATATAAACTGCATGCAAATGGATTCGTTCATATATATATATATATATATATATATATAACGTTTGAGAGCTTATCATATAATGTGTTGGAATTGTCAAAGTTGTTATATATATGTTGTTTATATGAAGTATTTAGCTAATTTGGCACAGTCACTAGCTAGCAAGGATTGGTGAATGGTGAGGACTATCAGGAACAATTTTCAGACTTATAAGAATGCTCCTCTATCAGATCATGAGTACTTATTATCATCTGTTTTTTTTTTTTTTTTTTTTTTGAAGAGCTATCATTAATTTGATACATGTGTGGTTTGTACACGTAATTTAGTGGTAATTTTACACTAAACTCCATCATGAGGTGTAGAATTCAAATTTCCTCAACCTCGAGTTCAAAAAAAAAAAAAAAAAAAAAAAAAAACTTGGTAGACGTCCAATGTGACTTGCAATTTATACTTAAATCCTTCATATATAACATAAATTCATTAATTAACATAGCCATAACAGAATACTGAATAGTTCTCAAGGTTTTCTTGGACAACCTTGTTAGGCCTTTTTGCCCCTTGAAAAAGTCTTGTAATTACAGACATTAACATATATAGATTTCTGGCAAGCGATATATATAATTTATATGAGATGAGTCCAATAAATTATCAACGGGAAGCCAGAATTTCACTGAAGTATACTATGGAAAAAGGTATTAATTAAGTCAAAAGGAAATTTAAGTAAAACTAGCTTGACAAATTAATAGGTGAACATAGCATACAAGGATCAAGGTGAATTAGGGTTAAGATCCAATTTCTTTTAATAATTTCTGGAAAGTACGTACGTTAGGATCAATGATTTCAACAAGTGACACCTTGCAGGCTTTTGCAACAAATTGTCAGACCAGTCTTCTGATCTCCATTAATTTTTCTTTACTGACGGGCACTGAAATCCTAGCTAGGGTTCCTTTATAATAATAATAATAATAATTATTATTATATGTGCTTTTGCTTTTTCCTTCAGTTAATCTTGTTGGATTTTTTCATCTCTGTTGCTTTTGTGGGGAATTGATGATCAAGAGCTTTAATTTGGTTGGCTTTGAAACACATGTAAAGTTTGGTCCGCATTTAAATCATGAATACCCTTTTACCAATTCAAGTCATTTGAGTATGACTTCCACATATGTGTGTGTGTGTATATAAATATACACACACACACACACACACACTATATAGAATGCTGGCTATAAATTAATAATCTAGTTTCGTCTTCCAATTTAATTTGAAATCCAACTCCCCAACTAAACTCCTCAACTTCCCATTCCCCTAATCCTATGGGAAAAAATGTGAGCAAACTAGAATAACATATTCATTTTGACTCTGATATTCATGATATATATGTATATATATGTGTGTGTCTGTATATCTACGGTCAAACCCTATCTATTAAAAATATAGATCTTGATCACTATATAGTACATATGCGATATGCCTTTCGACAGATTAGTTCATTTTAGGAATTGATATATATAGAGCCATGTTTTTCATAATGCTACAAATTTGGTCTAGGAAATTCATCTCCAATAAAGAATTAGTATATAGAGGACAAAGCTTAATTACCAAAAGAAACAAAACAAACCCTTTAGATTACTTCTTTTGGGCATGCTCAAAATGCGGTTTAAACATATATGGGCTTCACCTCTTATATAGAGCAATTTTAAAAATACCTCTTAAAATAGAGGTCTCCTTTTATTTCTATCCGTCAATATTAGCCCATATTATTTTACTTTCTAGACTAGAATAAGTCAAGGGGTCGAGTTTTTTAAAAGGAAACTTTTAATAAATTAGGTACTTAAAGAGTCAAAATCTATAATTTTCTCTTAAATTGAATTTTAAACGTCAAAATTAAGAATCATAATTTGAGTATACCTTCTAAACATGTCATATATATGATCTTGGTGATCTTCTGATGAGTTTGATGCTTATAAAATAATATATGTGCGTGAGGGTAAAATCTAGATGCCTCTACCTTGCTAAAAGATACATAATAAATAGTAGATAATATTTTATTATATCCTTCCCTGGACTTGACAATAAAAAATCTACTTGCTAAAGAAATCAATTATGCCAAGAGAAATCTAAATCAACTACACAAAGATGTACTCCAAGTGAAGATTATAAACCCTAAATATGAGCGAGTTGTGTGAAATGATATATAACCTGATCAGAACTTGATCGACCTCATCAAACGTCTAGTGATGCAAACAGATGCACCATTTTTTTTCTTAATCTTTCAGGTCTTTTTCGGCCGGATCGATCGATCATGCACCATTTTTTTTTTCTCCTCCTTTCAGGTTTATAGGTTTTTTGAAAGGGGGTTTTAGTAAGGCCTTTCTTAATCTTTTATCTAAGCAATAATATCATCGATCCTTGCCTTTCTTAGGTCTTTTGTTAGTCATTTTCTCTGCTTTAGCGCTACGCTTGTGCACCTTTTGGCGGGATTCGCTTATCTTTTACTTCTTTTGTTATTTTTTTATTTAAAATAAACTTCAATGAGGAGCTTTGTATTGGGAAAAGATAAGAATTAGGTAAGAATCTAATTGGGATGTTTTTCTCTACATCTCTGATATTGGTTATCCCTTCAACCTATTTACTTATTATAAAATAAAATAAAATAAAAAAAAGAAACGATGATCGGTTGATCAATTTTCAACGAATCATAATGACTCATATTCAAGTGATCACATGCAGGATCCAGAAATTATTATTTATGTAAATTATGTTGTTTGTAACAAATATGGACTTTAAAATTATCTTCTGTGGGTATTACTCATGTTCCCCATGTCGACATGAAGACACTTTATGTCACAATCATATATACGTTGAATTTGGAAACTTGCGGACTATCTATGATCAACTCGATGGACATAATTAGCCGGTCAAAATAATGACGATGAAGGGATACTAAAACATGAAGAATGATATATAAGATAATGATTAGAATATTGTGGCCTTGTTGGCAAGATACATACATTGATATATACTGGCTGTCTGCAAATTTATGATATAATGGATCGTTGATTTATGCTCAAAAAAAAAAAAAAAATATATATATATATATATATCAAGAGATCTAATTAGGATTTTAATGATTTCTCTCTTTTTATTAATTATATATATGTGTGTATATATATATATATATATACACACACACGCACACACATATATGCATATAGGCTGTGCCATATGTAATATGGTTCCATTATTAAGCCATTTAGGGTGCAGAAAAGATGCATGTAGGTATGGTTTTATTTTTGTTACTTTAAGCTAGCAAAATTGTAAGGGCAGACTGGCAGTAG